GCCTAGAAGAAAATGCTGCAAGCTTCTGCTAGATGAAGAAAGGTATGAAAGTAAATATCTGTGGGATGAAGCCTTCCCATGCAAAGCCAACAACTGTTATAGATATCTCTCTGTCTCTCTGAGTGTATGCAGCTAAATTAACACATTTTCTTTACTAAGTGGATTGCAGTTTGCCATATTTTTTCATTTATCTGTTTACTGTCAGTAACAGAATGCAATTTTCCACCATCTCTTCAAAGCTTTTGCTGTCAGTGTATCTGTTTTCACGCTTTTTGTTTGATCCTGTAGGTTATACTGTTGGTGAGGATCTGAACAAGAGGTAAAGTTATTTAAAAAGACAGGAGATAAAGAAATGCATGCAATTTGTTGAAACTTATTGCACATGAAAGAATGCCATCTTTCTCCAACTTAATGCAAGCTACACAACTCCGCTGTGTGCCCCAGTGGAGAAGTAACAGAGAAATGACACATTAATATTGAAGCTGCTGTGATGTGTCCATGCTCGCAGTATAACTTCTCCATGTCTATGATTTGCCCTCACTCATTCCAGTTCAGGAAAGCCCTTATTTATGCTCTGCTGAAGTCAATAGGATTTCAGTGCAAGCTTAAAGTTAGGAATCTATTGAGAGCTTTCCTGAATAGGGATCTGTGCTTATTGCACTTGGTTTAATCAACCCATGAGATTTTGGTGTCTGAGTTTTTCAGTACAAGAATAGAAAGGGTATGCTTTGTGCATTAAGATCAGTTCTTTTTAGTATTTCTAGTGTATGAAAATGTTTGGAGAGCGATACAGAACAATTCATTCTGAAGACACATCGTATATTGTACATATGTACACATACACGTCTACACCCAGAAAAATTTTACTCAGTATTGAAGAAAGAGTCACCTTTGTTTGGATCAATGCTGTGGTTGACTGTATCTGTAGCACAGTGTCCAGAATAACTGAATTATCCATGAAAGGTATACTGTCCATGTGAATGGCACACAGTCATTATGACAAGTGAGCACTATTCCGCACCCAGTGAAGTCCTTGTTGAGTGTACTGAACTAAATGCTCCATACTGCTGTGCAAGGTGATAGGTCCCATCAATGCATCCAAGTCGTTAAAAAAATCTACAGGGGGAAAAAAAGATTCAGCATCAGAAGAGTGAAACTGCATTTGCTACTTGTCACCCTTTAATAGATTTTATTCTCTTGCAAATTGAGCCAAGCTGAACATTTCATAGGAATGAAAGTTTAGTGCTGGCAAGATTAATTTTAAAGCCCTGTGGTTCATGATGTTACAGGCTGATGCACAACAATTTTCTTTTTAAAGAGCCAAGCAGTGAGTTCTTCAGCTTTGCTTTTCATTAATTTCCACTGAGTCTTGATAAAGCAAACAGATGCTGGGCAAGATTTATTTGGAGATTAAGGACAGCTAAGTCAAAAAGTCTACACACAAAAGTCTGTCTATACATATGCTAGATATTTAAGCTACCGCAGCAGAGTAATAGAGGCCTGTGCAACATGGTCAGCCCAGCCTAAAGAATAAATTGGCTAACTAGCCACTAGGGGCTTAATTCAGTTGCCTACTTTGAGATGCTCTCAGGCAGTTGATATAGCCAGGACAAGCAAATCTTACACAGGAGACTTCAGCACTGGGAGTGTAGGTAAGGACACCTCAAATAATGGCTTTTGGCAGCTATGGTTAAAAACTGAATTGTATTCCAGTCTCCCTTTCAGGGTGAATTGGGCAGCCCTTTGAACTCTGCTGACTGTATTGAACAAAGCTCCATCAACTGCAATGAGAGATTAGCCCACCTGCCCCAACTCGTATATACACACCTACATTTAGGTGTCTTCATTTGGATTTGAATCCTGGCAATGTCACTGCCTTAAACACATAATTTAGCCTGAAAACCAAGCAATACTTTGCCATCAAGTCAGATGTTGAGGCATTTGCTCATGGAAACCAGTTCAGCTGAGAGAAGTTTGCTCTTAAGAGGGAACGAGGTGCCTCGTTCCCATCTGTGTCTGCTTGGATGGGGGAGGGTTAAGGGCTGTTCACTCCTTCTGCAGAAGGGAAGCGTGTTCTTACTTTTTGACATGGAGTGGCTAAACACATCCCATCCAGCTCCACAGCTTTGGGAGGAAGGAAGCTGCCTTGCCTGACACAAGCCTCTCTCTCCAGAGTGACACAGGTGGCAGTGAATGCTACCTGCAGCTATGTCTGTGACCTGTCTATCACCAGTCCTGACCAGAAAAATAAAGAAAAAAAACCCTAGTGGGATAACGAGACAGCCATCAAAATTGCCTTTTGGGGCTGTTTTGACCAAACTATGAGCAGACTGAAGAAAAAAAGTCACCTCTGCAGTCTTACTTTGCAGATGGGATTCCTATCAAAATAATTAATTTCCTGATCAAAATCACTTGACAGTCTTCTAGAATAGTCGCTTGCCTTGACTCGCTCACCTCTGTTTTCCTTGGCCAGGTTGTCAGCCATCTCCCAGTAATCATAGCTGTGCAGGATGCTGTTGGTGATGCTGACATGGTTGGCAGCCATCTGATGAATGCGCTGTGGTATGCTGACGATAGGAGATGGGGAAGGGGCCCCTGTGCTCCCCTGGGATCCTACAGAGCTGACTGGAGAAGGGCTAGGGGACATGGGTGATGGTGTTCCTGTGCTCCTGGAAGCAGACATTAATACAGTTACTTAAAAGGTGTTGGGATTAAAACCATGAGAATATCAAAACATACTGCAGGTAAGAAAATACTGTTTCTGACTGCCAAGCTAATGTATGTTTCTGTCCGACTTACTTTCCACTGGCACCCCAAGGAGATGGGTTCTGGGCAGCTTTTGATGAATTCTGTAAAGGAAAAAGTAATTCAGAAGGTAGATAATTTATATAAGACTATGAAATGAATTACATTAAACAGCATAAAAGTAAAGAAATGAAAGAAAAAATTATGCAAGTACAAGTATTTAAGTCTCATGATGCAATAAACCAGTTCAGCCTGGTTTGGTGTTATGATGAAGCAGTGCTGCAGCACTGACTCAGATCACAGTCTGTTAAGCACCCTGGTATGGGGACTGATCAAGAAAACATGTTAGTTGAAATGGAAACTTTTCCCAGAAATCCTAGGAGTTCAGAAGAAAGTGCTGCTAGGACTTTTTTTTGAGGTTTAGGCTGGAATTTCCTGTGATAAAGCCAGAAGGATTTCTTCCTACTCTCCTGTCCTCAAAGGCAAATGTCATTTCCCTAGGACCTGCAAGACTGTGCAGGACTGCCTGACTGACCACAGGAATGTGAATCTGAGACTTCTTCAGCTCAGGTGGGTGTTTTAACCACCAGGCTCAAGAATCTTTCTCACAATTGCTCCTCTTGGAGCTGTTCCTCTTTGAATACATCAGCATTCACAGTGTCAGGGAGACTGCCTTTGTACACTGCTGTTTTTTTTCTAGCTGAAGAAAGTTCCCAACAAATCCCCCAAAGGGGACATTAGATTTAGTGTAATCTCTTCTGTATTTGCAGTCATTAAGACTCACTGGTTCAGTGTGCTTAGGCTAAAGAACGTCATTGCTTGGGGAGAGACTACCTTGTATAAGCACTAGATTTACAGAGCAGAAATTCAGGTGTCTGAATACTCTTCTCCTCTCCCAAAGGCAGTGACTGATTTAATCCTGGGCCTGTGAGAAAAAGGATGTAGAAAATAGAAGTCTAAGAAAAAAAAACTTTTCTAGTCCATCGCATTCATAGCCTCATATTCAGGAATGGCCAGTCTCTGATCCTGCAGAGGAAAGTGACTTCCTCACGCTCTCCCCTGAAACCATACATGCAGCTAATTGTGTGCTTCCTTTCCTTCTTGACAGCCACGGGAGACCAAGTGAAGTTCTGCACCTTGAGAACCGTTTTGATACTGGTTTAAATGCAAGACTGCAGGTGTTGCAAGCTGCAGGAGCTACAAGGATTAACAGCACTACAAAAACTCTTCTGTCCCATCCATGTCTTACTAAGGAAAAATGATAAACCAGGTGCTTCAGAGCTTCCCAGATTTCAAGGCCAGGAGTAATCCCTCAGGACACTCGGTCTGTAATTTCCCTTTCCCACCAATCATGGAACTTGTATGAGAAGCTAAATGACATTTAGAATTTATTCTATTTTATTCTTTTGGAAAGGATAGCTAGTCATATAGAAATCCTAAGTCACTATTTATCTTTCTTGCCCTCCTGTGTCCTGCTCTAATGTTTAGTAGGCCTCATAGTTAGAAAAACAGATTCTGTTTCAAGGTTTTAGGATTGAATTTTCTTACCTACAGTGCTAGCTTTTGGATTTTGTTGATCCAATACCAGCAAAACTGAACGTTGCCTGGTATTATCAGCTCTGTTTCCCCATACATGATCACACCCTCTCTTAACCTGTTCTGCAGTAAGCTTGACACATCTCCTTAGGACCTCTTCTAAAAAAGTTTTTCTCAGTTTTGATGTGTCCTCTGAACTGCTGCTTGTGTTCCTACACTGTTCATGTGCACACTGGCATTGGCTGCATTTTAGCAGGGATCATCACATCAGTGCTGTGTGTGCCCTGGCATTCTTCCTGCATTTTGACCCTGGGCCTTCTCCATCCCAGGTAAGTGGTATGAAAAATAATGTTTGAAGTGTCCCACAGGGGTTCTTCCTTCAATGGGTTTTCCTTTATTTTATTTTGTTTTATATTTTATTATTTTATTTTATTTATTTTATTTTCTTGGCAGGAAGGGTTAAGATGTGAAAAGGAAAAGTTCTCATTTACCATCCTAAATAGAACCAACCTGGGAATCTGAGGATTGCTCCTCTTACAGAATAACTACTGGCCTTTGTCTTTCTAGTGTAATGGAAACCAAGTATATGTTATTTATTTGCAGAGTTGGAGGCACAAAAATACAAAAATCGACGTGGAGTCAAGGGTACTTCAGCTGTAAATGTAAACCAGCCTCTGCCTTCCTATATAACTTACCACACCTTTTTTCTCATGTTTTAGGTACATTGTTCCAGCTTCCTCTCAGTTCTGCACCAGAAGGCTGGGGTAAGGATTCTAAAGAGTATAACGTAAGGGACCATCTCTTACCCCACTTTGCTTATTGCTGTCCCTTCTCTTGGTTTCTTTATGCTCTCTAATATGTCTGGCCCGAGAACATCTGTGGCTTCTTTTTAATTCTCCGCTGCATTATCTTTTTTATTTTTTTTTTAATAATGGAAAGAAAATACTTAAAAGGAGATTTAAATAATATTTTTTCCTTTTCTAAAAGAAAACTGTGTATAATTTTCCCTGCAAATGTGTGTGACAAGGCTTAAAATCTTTCTTTGATTGATAATATATGTGGAAGTTCTTAATGCAGTCGGCATTTCACATCACTTGGTTTAGAAAGCTTTTAGATACCAAATATGAAATGAGTGGAGAATTGGCTTGTTTTCCACTGAAAATTACAGCAAATGGATTTTTTTCTCCATTTTTACTTTCAAAGGTGAGAATACTTTCTAATGTGAAGCTGCACTATCATTATATCAGCAGGAGCTCTGCAAAAAAACCATGCTCATCTTGGCTATAGCAAAGTGTAAGTCCATTTTGTGTTTGCTGTGAAACAGTTTGTCTGTCTGCTAGTCTGAGACATTTTACATGGTTGAGAGCCTGACCATCCTGTTCTTAATGCAGGTATTCTCTGAACTGGTAAAGAAGAATAAAGTACTGTAGTAGGCACATATTTCTTCCCCCTGAAATCAAGGCATTGTTAGAGAAACGTAACTTGTTGAATTATATATATTGCTAAATTTTCAGAAGCAATTACAGTGACTTCAATTTCAGTTTCACAATAACAGATCTGTCAATTTCTTTCACTGTCTTCATGTGTTCAGAATCTGCTCATGAGCATTTGTGCTTGTATTTGAAATTTTTTTATTAACAAAATGTCAAAGGATGGATGCTTTTCATTTCAAGGTACCTCTCTCTGTAATAAAACCCCAAGAGATGATCCCTTTGTTCAAAGACAAATGGCTGCTCAGAAGGTCCCCCAAAACAGTTTGCCTTAAAGCACTTGCATGTTCATATTACTATTTTTTTATTATTTAGAGAGACAAAGGCTAATTTTGTGTTTGTAGATCAAGTGCTGGATGGACTGACTGCTAGGTGAACTCTACCTGAAAGCTTCTGTTCTTGAGATACTTTCCCGGGAAAAGTTGCCTGCCAAATACAATGTGTTAAAATATTTCAAGTGACTTCTTGTCTTACTGAAAATAACCAGGGTTAGGACTTGGCAGAGTAGAAAATGGAAGCAGTAGCAGGTGAAGCAAAACAGGAAGGGGAAGCCAGCAGTGTCATGTCAAGTACATGGCAGGTGGTTTGGCTGTCCTCTGGTGCTTTCGTGCAACTCCCACTGAAGTCATGTGGGCCATTCGACAGTTCCACGAGTAAGAGCATGTCCCACTGCACTCTCTTACCTATCAGTTCTGCTAAGTGGAAGCCCTGCAGCTGAGGACTGATCTAAGATCGAAGTCTTCAACTCACAGGTCTAGTGAGAAGTGTAATACTGGAGGGGGTTCTTGGAGGAAAATCTGTAAACCTAATCATAATGGAGCTGGATGGCACTAGACAATAGACCAAGAATAATCTGAAAATACCTTTTTGTTAGTACAATGAATCTCTTATCCTCATGAAGGGACACAGTGTGTATTTTCCAAAGAGGGGCCCTTGTGAAGACAACAGAACTGAAGAGACATCAGGAATTGCGGTGGGAGTCTATGGTAAAACTCCACTGACTTCACAGGGGAAGAACTAAGCCCAGCACACTGTTGAAGTAAGATGCCATATTTCCTATAATGCACAGTGATTTAAAAACATGCCAGAAAGAATATACCTTGAAATACTCAATAAGTGCTTTCGAATACTTGACTGCATGGTCTTTCTTGAGTCGGAACATCCTCCAGTACAGAAGGGCCAGGCAGCGGTAACTAAAACAAAAAGGAAAGCAGAAAGTAAAGCATACCCCTTGAACAGAAACCCCAGTTATCTTAAAGTCTCAAGCTAATGCGGAGTGGAATGCTGACAGCTCTTTGCTTATGAATTTTATCACCATTTGTTTACAGTACTTCACACTTTGCCATGGATTCAGGAGCAAGGCTAGGTATTACAGGCAGGGCAGGTCACATTGACAAAGGCTACCAGTAAGGTACTGAACTAACTGTTCTCAGAAGGGTTTGCAGGTTTGGGTTCCCAGGCCTTGACTCAAGTCTGCACACTTGACCCAAAGCCTCTCCTGTCAAAAGGTCATTACAGGCCTAGAACCCAACATATGCATTTTCTGTAAGTGCAAAGGCAGCCTTTTTGGGTGTCTTCTCCTGGGAGTTTATTGCAATAGTCTGGAGCTTGTATAATGAACCAGAGTTATAACGGGTGTGTTTTGTGTACACCCCACAGTCTCTTCCAGCAGCTGGAGATATCTGGGAAACAGGGAAACCTCAGACCTGCCCAGATGTCACTAGCCAAGCTCCTCTGTGGGAAACGGTAATGGAGACTTGTGTTGGAGCCTGGAAGCTACTCCTAAGGCCACCTGCTGGATTTGTTCCCCAGAGAAAAGCAGCAGTGGGCTGAAAAACTGGATGTGCTATACTGGAACTATCCTGCCCCTGTGCACCTCGTTAGTCTGCAGAGTGCCACACACCTTTAATGTTATGTAATTAAATGAGAGTAATAAATATTAACTACAATTACACATCACTATAACTGATAATCAGCATTCAGGACATGCAAACTCTTTGCTATTGGCTTTGGGTGTACTGGTCTATTTTCTGAATCAAGAACCACCACCGCCTCTTCCCAGCGAGCTTTTTGATCGACGAGTGTGGGATTGCCCCACAGTAACACAGCTTTTGCAGCAAATATCTGACATGTTTTGGTTTTCCTTTGGCAGCGGAGGACTTATTTTGAAAGTTGTATTTAGTCTTGGAGTTAACCTGAAGCCCCAGAAAGTGCCTTGAGTTTGGAAGCTCAGAGGAAAATCCACCTTCCCGTGCCCAGGAGCTGCCCAAACCTCAGCAAACCTATCCAATTAGCAAAATTGCTCGTGGAAAAAATCCGAGGCAGGGTTTTTCTCAGCCTCCTGCCCTGATAGCAGGAGGTGAATTTCTGCCTTTGGCCGCTAGAGGGCAATCTCTCCCTAGGAGAAGCGGAGCTGGCTGGCAGCCTGGGAGCTGCCAGTGGATGCGGTGGCCTCGCAGCCACCACCATAACTCTCACTCTGTCACCTTCACAGGTACAGCACATATGCAAATGGTGTCAGCTCATCTGCTGCCTGGCAGACGGTGAGTTAAGATCGCTATTCATCGCCCAGAGAAGGCACCGTCTGCTTTCCCCCTCGCTGACCTTTCTGCTGAAACAGATGCAGCAGCTCTGTGAATTTGGATGTGGCTCTGCACATACCGAGGCACTCTGGCAGCTCTCAGCAACCCTTTGTAATACCGCTTTATATCTTTTTTTACCATTCTTTAGTAATTTTCCCACCTAAATGTCGTTAAAGCAATTGCCATTAGGGCGTTCTGTGCTCCTCCCGACAGCACAGCAAACCAGCGACAAAGAAAGGGCATTTAGGGAATAAATGCGTCTCTGAATATTTTATTCTTTCAAATACAAACGATTAATTAGGAGCTCTTATTTATGGAGGCTAAAGATGCACTTGATTTGGATTTTTAACAGATGGTTAATAGATGTTAAAAACACACTTGCTGATTGTAAATGTCCACTTACTGAGAATCAGTAACCATGTAATAGGTATTTTATGTATTAACCACATAGATATTAAATTAAAATTTGATTTTAATAACATTTTAGTATTTTACTAGCAATCAGCAGCCATCCTATAGCATCTAAGGTGCGTCTATATATCTAGAAATCTCAATTTAGAGGGTAATCCAAAAGGCTTAATTAACACCATCACCGTATCTCCCTTCATATAACATAAACATGATTATTGAGCCTGAAATGTCAGTCACGAAAGAAATGACCAAGCTATTGGTACAAAAATACATCACTCATAAAAACAACAAACCATCAGGCATTTAAAAGTTAATTACGCTGACATACCATAGCTGACCTGTCACAGTCAATAAGTATGAATTGCTTATTTACAGAGACAGCATACAGACTTGATACAGTGTGATACAAGGGCTGGACCTTCCCGGAGCAGAGAGTAGTCTCTTAATTTCAATAGACGACATAATCCTATCTGGCTGTGTCAAGCATGAAAATCAGAGAATTTCAAGAATCGGCTCACTGCAGAAAAGAAGCCTTTTGAGGAAATCTTGATTTACTAACCATAATGCTGCCAGCTGTTTGTCTTCTGGCGTGGCGTTGGGGCCTGAGTGGGTTTTTAGTCTTACTGCATACCTTAAACAAAAGGAAAAAAGCCAATGTGAGTTAACTGAAACAGCTTTATATTACTGGTCAGAGAGCTAAGATGCCCAATGTCATTTAATCTGCCCCCTTGCACATATTTGCCCCAGTTACCAGACATGCATGTGCTTTTTCTGCTCATGTTTCAGAGATATTTTGCCATTAGCAGTGCCTCCCTCTGCTCTTTAAACAGCAGTAACTCCCTTGAACGTCCATCAGTGCAGAGTGGAGCCTAGATGGTGAGACGATGCTGTCCTACCAAAATAACCTGTTCTGTGGTGGAGACCCAGTTACACGGAGTTCATGCAGAAAGGTTTTCACAGCGTTTGAATGCAGACAGCCTGCCTTGAAGCTGGTGCTGCCCTCACCCTGCCAGTTCTGAGCGCGTCTACCAGATTTGCTCCTCCAAGCAGAGCACAGCAGAGGGGAACATGTGGCTCAGAGCTATTTTTGCTCATGTGACATTACATTCAAATTCTATAAATATTAAACATCCACAGAGGTAGCACTGCTGTTTCAAGAGTGTATGTGCTATGCAATCACAAATTAGTTTCTGGGAATCTCAGCTTCCAGCTGAATACCTGAACAATGGACAAGGTTAGGACAACACACAGCACTTCTGGGCTTGCTTCCAGAAAAATACCTGTCCCCCACAATTAGCTGCTTGTGTTTTTTCTTATCTTTACTTTCAATATCTTTGCAAAGAGTTGGTATGAACATCTTGTTTCAACAGGCATACCTAGCAAAGCACTTATTTTTCTGAGCTGCAGCAAGTGACATCAACAGCAAATCACACTACAACACAACCACAGCTACACACATTATTGAAAGCTATGGATCTGCAAACAAAATTAGTTTCCAGAGTTAGGACCATATATTTACTATCATGAGAAAACATGGGGCAGAGAAAGAAAGAGCTTTCTGCCTTCTGAAAATAAAAAGAAGGAAAGAATTGCAGAGATGGGGTGTGCTATTCTCTTACTGAAAAAAAAATATTTGATTTTGTTAAATAACCTTCCAGTCAGAAAGCTGGCCTGACAGTGCAGCTTTCTCTGCTACTGTGGCTGGGTTTGTTCTCTTTTGGAGACAGTCACTCAGCTGCTGGGATGATTTTGACCTTTGTTTTTTCTACCAACACTGTCAATAATGTTGATTATTTAGTACCAGCTATAATGGAGAAATAGACCTAGGAGAGAAATTTTCTCATAGGAACTGTGGGTGGGACTCAATTCTACTGTCCTGTTTGGAGAGTCATGAAGGTGACTAAGTGTAGGAGCAGCTTTAGTGTGAGCTGGACAGCTTTTGGGACTCCACTGGCTACAATAGGAGCATATGCACCAAATGGACCGTGAGCGTCCAATTTCCTATCCCTGTTCAGGTAATCTTTCAACTGCAGTCTTAAGTACGTTGCAACATTTTGCAAACTACCACTCCATGAGAATGTTTTGGTGTTATGTATTATTATTTTTCCCTTTTGAGTAGCAAAACTTGTATCATGAAGCTTTTGAAATAATTTGCAACCTAAATAATGTGAAAAGCTTTGGCATTCATTTGGATGGTTTTTGTTTTGGTTTTCACAATACATGCTTTCCTGATTTAATGTCAATCACCGATAATACATATACATTACATTCCACTTGGGAGGACCTCACTTCTCCCCTCTTCTTTTATCTAAGGAAGTATGTGATAATGTAGATGACCATGTTTGCACAGAGTAACCTCCTCCCTTCCTACCTGATGAGTTCGACTGTTTCTGAATACATTGTATAAGGGGATTTAGATTCCATTGGGCCTTGTTCCATTGCATTTCCACACTCAATAAATGATAGTGCTGCTTCTGCATAATTCAGTGCCTTTCCAAACTTTTCCACCTAGAGGGAAAAAACAAGGACACAGAGAAATAGTGTAATCATCAAGATATGGTTACATTTGATGGCATTTTCACAACATGAATTGTAAACTTGACACAAGCTGGTGTATCTTCAGATTCACAAATTTTCCTATGAGAAACTTAAAATCCATCACAGTATGCATCAGTGAAAATTGTAAGATACAGAAAGTAGAACTAGAAAAGGCTACAAGATGTTATTATGCCCACACTCTTGAGCCTAACAAAGGATCAACTCTGCCTAGGACATTCCTGACAGATGTTTGTCAAGGCTTTTCCAGTGCTGGAAATGCCACCATCAGGCTTTTTGTTTCAGCTTTCATTAAAAAGCATTTCAAACATCTTTGAAAATGTAGTTTTTCATCATCAGTGAACAAGGAAAGGTGATTATCTTGAACTAAGAGAATGAGAATTAAATACTTAAATACTACTAACTCTTACTCAAAGGCTCATCTCTGTTCTTATGTTTTCCCCCTCATTTTTATCCCTACCATTGTCAGCCCTGCTTGACCACACTCTCCTCTTTTGGGATTTTGCTTTCTAAATCCTCCTCCTCTTTCAGGGACTGCTTTGCTCCTGCAGCTCCTTATGCCATCCTCCTTCTTTATTTATGTTACCCTGCCCCATTTCTTTATTTTCATTACTTCTTTAACTCTGTTTGTGAGTATTTGCATACTTACATGGAGGTACATGCATGTAAGTCCCAATGATGGTGTGTATGTAAATGTGCACATAATCTTCATATATGTACACTTACATACTACTTAATCTGCTCTCAGAATTTCATTTTTTATGTGCGTAGAGATGAATCATACTAATACCTCTCTGTCCTGCCTTCTTTTTCCTTCAGTCAGAACTCCTGCGGTACATAAAGCCCATTAATGGACTGGATGCATTTGGTTGAAATCTGATGCACACAGTGAAAGGTTAATGGACCTTATTCTTTTCCAAGGGATAAAGATTTTAAATAGCAACTTCGGAATGGCACACTGGCTTCAATCTATTTTAGGTTCTTATATGACTCCCATTGCGATCATACTGGAGAACTTCACAAACTTTTTATTATATTTCTCTCCCTGACGCTCTTATGCGGGTGGAAGTGCTATTATCCCAATTTCACAGACGGGGGACTAAGGAGCAGAGAGGCTTAGAGTAATTTTCAGGCTGTGCACTCTAAGTGCCTATGTTAGGTACTGCAGTGCCAAAGTAGGAAGTATTAGATCCAGCAAAGTGATTCAGAGTGCCTGGAGGCACATTGACAATATGGCATTTCCTCCAGGATCCCTACAGAGTCAAGGAGGGAAAGGAAGTACCTGCAAAGGGAGATTCACATGGTAAGGTACTGGTCCACTGTGTAGAGAAGCTGAGTCTGAAGGGTATTTCAATCACCGAATAGTGATGTGAGACTATTTAAACTGTGCCTAAGAGACTTTCATACAGGAAACTTGTGGCAGAGTAGAGAATAATGCTTGCACCTCCTGTTTCTGGGAGCCTACCATAACAACATTTCTCTTCAGGCTAAGAATTTCCTTTGCATATTAAGTGATCTTTTCCATTCTGTTTAAAGCAACACACTAAAATGCACCATTTGTACTTCTCCACAATATTTTCTGATTTAAGACTCACTTTAGAGTAATATGGAACTGAATAAACCATGGAAATTTGCGCTAATAAACTCAGGTAGAGTGTAAAACTTAGTGTCCTAAATTAAGGGCCTGCTTCTGCTGCCTTGGCCTTTTTACATTCTGCACTGCTTGAGGAAAAGAGGTGAAGAAGCAGAGGTTCCGAGCTACTTCTTTCCTGCTGCTGTGACAACAAAGTGTCTGTCTGTCAGCAAATCTACCCCCATGTGGAAGATGATAGCCATATCAATGCAGGGTCCCACTCCATATATTGCATCTGCCATCCCAGAGGCTGAATGTTTTTAAGGCTTTGCTAACTTACTTGTAGCACTGGACAAACGTAGCCTGGGAGAAAGCCAAGAGATGGCAAAGGGAGCTCTCCTGGAGCACTGTGTGCTTTGTTGCATCCCTTTGTAATAGAATCACAGAAGGGTTTGGGTTGGAAGGGACCTTAAAGATCATGTAGTTCCAACCCTGGGCAGGGACACCTTCCCCTAGACCAGGCTGCTCAAAGCCCCATCCAACCTGGCCTTGAACAGTGCCAGGAATGAGGCAGCCACAATTTCTCTGGGCAACCTGTGCCAGGGTCTCACCACCCTCATAGTGAATAATTTCTTCCTAATATCTGATCTAAATCTCTCCTCTTTCACTTTAAAGCTATTCCCCCTTGTCCTATCACATGCCCTTT